GATCCAACCTGAGTCCTCCATCATCGGGCAGGCCCCTGCTGTCTCTAACCAAGCTGTCATTCTCTTTGTCGTATTGCCCCCCTCACCTCTCTGTTCTTCTTAATGCGTTTGTGCTGGTCTCTCTGCCTGCTGCATCCTCTCAACGTCATTAACTCCCACTCCTGATTTAAAACCCAGTGTAAGCACCGCCTACTCAGGAAGCCTTTTCTGATGCCACCTCTATGCCAGGTCCTTCTTGGTTCTTCCATGACATCTGTCTGTCTCTCCACCATTTTACTCACACTGCATTTTGATGACTTACTGAACAACTGCATTCTGTTTATCTTTAAATCTTTACTACCTTGCACAGTGCCTGGCACATAGTACTGTTGAATTAATGTGTGGCCAATTAAGCAGATGAGTAAATGAAAGAGAGATTCATTCTATACCATTTGTATGCACTCAGCTTGGGGTTGCCAGATTTGCCAAATGAAAATACAGGATGCAAAATTAAATTTGAAATTCAGATTAACAAATACTTTTTCAGTATGAATGGGTCCTAAATACTTTATGGGACACACTTATGGCACCAAATTTTTCAATTATTCAATTATTTGTTATTTACCTGAAACTAAAATTTAAATGGGCATCCTGGCAATCCTAACCTAGCAAAAAAAGTGAGTTCACACCCCAAGTAGAAGTTCACACAGTGTATAAGCTCACACTGAGCTTGACATCACCTGCCCTAGGGTTTTAAATAGTCTATGTCTTACATCTCTGAATGTTCCATATGAGAATAGCTCTCTGTGCTCAGATGCACTGGCATTGCCATAATGCTCTACCGCGTGCCATTGCATGCATGTATTTTTTCTTTGCATGGCGAGGACATTTTATCTACACAGATTTGGGCAACATGGGCAGATGATCAGAGCTGATTTGTGAGATACCTCGTGGCATTTCCTGTACTGTGGTGTTTTCTTGTTGCTACATGGTGGTGGTAAGGCATTTGAAAAGGGAATGTAACAGTGCCCTTGGTATTCTGGGATGAATTGAAGAGATAGAAATGTGTACCTTCTTAAAGTCTATAAAACTTTGGAAATGGGTTTAGATGTTCTTAGGAAGTTAAGACTGGAATAGGTACTCACTATTTCCTTTTCTGCTCAGGCCAGCTTGCCCGAGAACTAATGTATTAAACATTGATCATGACTGGGAGTGGGACTTCATACTGTCTCCCAAGCTGATGAGGCTGTTTATTTAGCACACTCATTGTTAAAGTATCAGATGACTGAAGTATTATTTTGATTGAAGGAAAATTTTTTTTTTCAAATTAGAAACACCCAAGTTGTTAACAGTTTATGGTTTAGATGGGGAAAGAGAGTTTTTCTCCATGACTGGAAACAGAATTGAAATATGGCACATTTCATCTCTCACATTCTCTTTCTCCTGTTCCCCCTCATGCCAAAATTGATAATTATGGAAATTCCTCAGCTAGGCCCATTGGGCAGAGTTTTAGATGTTTACCCCACGGGAGTCAGACATGTTCTCTTAGGGAAAGCTGAATTCTAATGGCAGAAAGATTGGCCAAGAAAACAGTCATGAAACATTTTTGTGGCCTCAGTATCATGGTCTTGTCAGTAAAGCGATGGTCTCTGATTAAATCCAGATTGAGCCGCTTCCTGTTAGCGTGCTAACCCAGAGGGCAGGCTCAGCCCTCTGTCCGTGTCTTGCCTCTAAGTCTGAGTTATTAAACAGTTGTCCGCCGAGGCTCTCTCCCCGCCTCTCCCTGCTTTTCTCTGAAACTAGAATTCAAAGGTATTGAGCTAGTACAAACAAAAAGATCCCCAGATCTATTCCAAGGGCAATGTAGCTTTTGAACGTTTTGCTGCAAAAATGAAACTAAAACGTTAGCTTCTCCAGTCTAACCATAAGGCAGGGGACATTTCTTGTGTTTCGCTTTTGTATAAATTTATTTCAAAATAATTTCAATAATAAGCACATCATTTTTAAGTTTTTGTTTCATAAAAGTGTCCTTTATTTGAATGTTGACAAATCAGAACCCATCTTCAAAAACCTGGTCTTCCCCTCCTGTGGCAAGTAAGTATTCGGGTGCTTAGCAAAGGTGCAGAGGACATCGAGCAAGTGCTCTGACACCTTAACACGCACTGTTAATTCGGGGGAGGATGATTTTAGGCGCCAGAGCAATTCCTGTACTTCATTTTATGATATTGTCATTGGTGCTCACTCATTGTGCTTGGAAAGTGATTTTTTAAATCTAAATATTTGAAGTATTTTATGAGCCACTCTGTTACCTCAGACACAGATCTTCCTAATTTACACATGCAAATACCAAGGAACAAAAACCGTGAAAGAGACTTATGGGGATCAAGCCTGCATATGTAGATTTTTTTTTTTTTTTTTCCAGAGGAAAAGAACTGGAAGGGAGTGACTGGGTTAATGAGCAGTGTGGCTCCATTCCCCAGGGAGAACTGGCCTCCTGCCACATCTGCTTTCTGGCAGGAAGGGGGACCCACTTCATCAGGTCCTTTGACAGGCATTTTTCTCTGTTCGAATTTTTGGCCACATCAGTGCTTAGTGAAAAATTAGTTCTTTTAGATAGTTATTACTTTCAATGAGGAAAGATTTAAAGTGGAATTTGCATTGTGAGTAAAATAAGAATAATCACATTATAAAATGATTTGGTAAGGGAACCCTGACATTGTCACAAGGTAAGGAAGCTCGATTTAGAACTAGAGCTTGAACATTCCTACAGACTGAGAAGCCAGACGTTCCTTTTGTTGTTGTTGTTAGCACCGGATGTTGAAATATATTTTTCGACTACCACTTTGTAATATCATCAGGCCGATCATTCTCTTGACCAGGTCTTTCGAAATGACAATGTAAAACACACAAAACATCCATAAATTTTGGTTTTAAGAAAGAGATCAAAGAACTATAGATGTTAGAAGATAAAGATTAACATTATATTCGTAAGTCTTGATTTTTCTTTTTTTAAAGTGAAAAGTGGCAAATGCGAATAAAGTTTTAAATGCATCGTGGTGACTCACTAAGCTAACATTTTCCAAACTTTGATCATTCTCATGTTCTGCAAGATACTCTGAGAATAAAGGGAAATTCGTTTGGAAATGTCATATGCCATATCCTTCTCTTGGAGTTTGCTAACAAGTTAGCGTATTAAAGACTTTAAGAAATTCTAAAGTAACATATTTGACTTTAACTCTGTAGTTACCAAACTTGACCACAGCCCCTTTTGTTTTGGAATTAGTGTTTTACACTGTACCAAGTAGTTAAAAATGTAATTAGACTTTGAAACATATCTTTTCCACTTATCTTTCTGGTCAAAGTTAATTGAAGCTCCTGGGAGACAGATGGGTACGATTAGGCCTGTTCTAAAAGTACCTAAAGAGTGATAAGGAGCAGTTAAGAGGCCATGATCTGAGTCAACAGGCCTAAGAGGGCTTAAGAAACATTTGGTATTTTGCCTGAAGCAGATCCCTTTCCTTAGTAAACTAAAAATATCTTTCAAAATTAAATAAAGAAGAGAAAAAGTCATCTACCACTAAACTAGAGCCTTCTTATTAATTCCTGTTAGTTAGGCCATGGTGACATTAAGCTGCTCTAACTAACTCCCTTCTGAAAGCGACTGCCACCACTTTGGTCTTACAGAAAGGAATCTCGCCGGCTGATTTCCTTCCAACACTTTAACTTGTGACAGGCACAGTGTCATCATTTAGAGATTCAGCTCTTTCTTCTCTGCCCCTTTTCTTTTCACAAGTCCGATTATTTCAACTGAGGAAAATCTGGTATAAAACAATTCAAACTTAAAGTTCAGAGAAATTGCCTAATGATTCTTTGCGACACTTAGAATGATTATGTGCTTTAGAAAAAGCTCTTTTGGGTACATCACTTCTCTAGTGCCTATGAAGGACAAGTTAAACTTGGAAAACCGTATCTCTATATAATTTGTTAGGCACAGATTTATTGCAGAATGTAAAGCACAGCCACATTTTTCTTTAATTCTCTTCCCTAATATATAGTTCTTATGTTTTATAGACTTTATCACTAGTCAGTTCTTAGGTATTATGGTTTATATCTCCAAGGTGCACTTATACCTGCCAATATTATTCACAGTTTCATTCTCATGTGACAGCTATTTCTCATGAACAAATGTCTTCTTTTATACATTGCAAGTTTCTAGAAGGCAGAGGTCATTCACTCACCCACCCTTTCTGTTACTCCCCAGTCATTAGCCCGGTGCTGCGTGTTACAGCCAACTCTGATGATATTGAATCAGGGAGTATACTGCCTTCCACGGGCTGAAGAACATCAGATCATGATCAGATCTCCATAGGATTCCATGGGAAACATATTCCTACCATGGCTGAGTTTTCAAACTATCAACATGATGTCAGTGGTTCACGTAAATCCTAAAAATATAAAAATCAGCTCTTCAAAGCCAATATGAGTTGGCACTGTGGGAGCTGTCTCTAAGAATGAGTTGGAAAGCTTACCATGGAACAATGATCGATAACGTTTGCTAAACTCGATCCTGGGGTCATAGTGAGCATCCTTGATACAATATGCCAACAACCTAGTTCTTGTAGGATAGTGAACAGAAGCAAATGTAGCCATGATGAAATAATACCTCTGCTTCTAGAGAGGAAGGGAACACTCCCTACTCGATCCTGGGGTCATAGTGAGCATCCTTGATACGATATGCCAGCAACCTAGTTCTTGATAGGATAGTGAACAGAAGCAAATGTAACCATGATGAAGTAATACCTCTGCTTCTAGAGAGGAGGGGAACACTCCCCGCCACCCCCTGCCCTGCCACCCCAATTCACTCTGCTACACTCACAGGTGAGGGTATGGCCTTGCCTAACTTATAGGGAAATAAGAGCAGGAGAAAACATGGCAGGCGTGTTTCAACTATTTCAGTGTTTTCATTTTTTTTTTCCTAGGGAATCATTTCTCCTGATCATAATTGTGAATTTCTTGTATAGGTTGAAGGGGACCAGCTGCCTCCAGGACACACAGTCAGTCAGTATGAGACCTGTAAGATCAGGACCATAAAAGCTGGCACCTTGGAGAAGCTTGTGGAGAACCTGCTGACGGCTTTTGGGGACAATGACTTTACCTATATCAGCATCTTCTTGTCCACGTACAGAGGCTTTGCCTCCACTAAAGAAGTGCTGGGGCTGCTGCTGGACAGGTAAGAACCTGCAGGAGTGTAAGAGGTGCTGGAAACGGAAGGCTGTCCACAGAGTGAAGGCCTGAGGCTTTGAAATGCTGAGAGATGTATGAGGAAAGATTAACCTGAAGGGATGACCTTTGGAACAAATGGCATGAGGATTATTCAGCTACTTTATGGTCTATTTCTGATAAAGATATCTCATAAAAAATCTAGAACAGAGTTAGGTGTACATACAGTAAATCTACACTCAAAGTTTATAGATTTCAGTTATTACTTGCCACCCTAAAATTTTCTCTATATTTTTGTAATTTTATATAATTCCGGTGAATAATGAACCAGGAGTCTTATTGGGTGGTTGTGAGAATTAAATATGCTAATATATGTGAAGTATGGGGCTCAGTATTAGATCCATAGAAAGCAGCTGATGAGCAGTGGCTGTAATGATGATAATAACTATCAACTGTCACCATGTGGTGGCTGCTTTATGAATATGCACATAAACATCATCCTTGGTCTGTGTTAAGTCACATGTTCCATATAGTAGAGCAGTGTACGTTGTAAATCATACATCAATAATTATGTTTCCCCCTTATTTTTGTTTTATTTATAATTAAACTGGGTCTTTTAAAATTTTCATTAAATCGACTTGATATTGGGAGGAAGAAACCCGTAAGCTAAACAATCGTTTTAGAGTCATGAGTGTTCTCATCCAAATCCTTATATTCTGGGTTTCCTGCATAAGAAAGGAAATGAGATAGGATGTTTGTGTTGGAGTTGTTGAATACTGATTTTTTTTTTTTTAAATTGAAAGTAATATGTGTTCATGTTAAAAATTCTTATACTATAGGGAGATACAAAAAGAAACATTCATGTTTTCTTATATTGCTACCTTTTCCCAAATAACTTTTATTAGGGTTTAAAAAATATGTAGAAGTAGAAAGAAAAAAATTAAACAGACCTTAATCTAATCAGGCAGAAAACATACATTAACATTTTAAACATAGAAGTAAGACTAGTATGTAATGAAAAGTTCCAACAATTCAGAAAATTATAAAAATAAAAGTAAATATTTCTTTTTACCCAAATCCCATTTTCCAGTCCCATCGCTCCTGGGTAATCACTGTAAAACATTACTTTTGAATTCTTCCCAAAATTTTCTGGATATGTTTATATACATATACACACACACACACACACACACATACACATACATACACACATATATGTATATATTATATATAATATGTATTTATATGTGATGTTTATTATTTACGTCATATATACTGATATATGATATAAATACATAGTTCACAGTGTGTTCTGCAATTTTCTTTTTTTACTCCTCTGTATATCTAGTTTTTTGTTGTTCATTAAGGGAATTAACATATGTAAAGGGCTTATTAGAACAGTGGCTGGCATTTTGAACGTTCAAGAAACATGTTATTATTTCAAAATCAGCACATGTAGATAGATTTACCATATTCTTTTTAGCAGCTTTATAGTATTTATTGCATCGATTATTCTATGGACAGTTAAGCTCTTTCCAGGCTTTTAATTTGTTTTTTGAATTTTTAAACAATGCTGCAAAGAGCATCTTTGAATAAGTATCTTCTGAGTACTTGTTTGAGAATTCTATAGGATAATTTCATAGAAGAGTGATTGATTGGTCAAAATATATCATTTAAAATGTATTACAAATGTGAAAGATCTTGCTAGATGGCCCTCCAGAAACTTGCGCCAACCCCCGCTTCCCGCCCTCCCCAGAGAATGAGTGTGCCTCTCCCCGCGCTCCCCCCACACCCTTATCAACTGCGGGTATTTTTAGCTCTACCATTGAAACCATCTCTGTCATTATCTGTCCATTGAAAAATAGCTCATTGTTTTAAAATATTTATTTCTTACATTTATAAATGAGGTTTAGCATCCTTATCAGGCCTCGTGTTTTCTATGAACTGTCTTTTCATATCCTTTACTTATTTTTATTTTGGACTATTGTCGTCTAATTATTGATCATCTAATTTTAACTCTTTACATATTAACAAAATTAGTCTTTTGCTTATCATGTGTTGGAAATATTTTCCTGATTGGTCCCATAGGTTTAAAAGTTGTTTATTAATATTACTTTTTTTATGAAGACATTTAAATATTTTTCATACAGTTATAGTTATCAGTTTTAAGAGAGGCCTTTAATAATCAAGTTCTAGTCCGGTGTGGAAAAGGTTATTGATAACAGTGGGTTTTTCTCAAGATATTTTCCTCAAAAATGCATACGGAGTGAAATTATTTGGATTATATGTTTATATTCAGGAACATTCACAAAATGTCTCTCCTTTATCATACATTATCTGGTTATAACTCTGGACTTAGGTAGGAAGTTCTGCAGATTTTTGCATAGCAGCACTTTTAAAATATTAAGCCTAGAATATAACCTGTGGGATTAGTGAGCCATTTCTTTCATAGTTTGTTTGCTTATATAATACCTCTCACCCAGAAATAGAACTTGAGGAATTATATGAATTTTCTCTTTACTAGTTCATATTTATAAAAAGGATGCACTATGCTAACTGTTGTCAGGCAGTATGAGGAAATAGGTCAACACATCAGAAACTCCTGAAAGTTTTCTTTTGAATGGGTGACCTCTTCTACTTCTGGGATAACTTCTGGGGTAACTTTATTGATAACACTGAGCAGTTATTGTGGCCGCAGTCGGTTACGGAGTGCACGTGGATTCCAGCTGTACACCACAAATGGTGGACACACGCACAGGAACTGGAGTGTTTAGTCTGTGACTTGTGTACATCCAGCTTTTATTGAATGATTAAAAAAAAAATCTCTTTGTCCTCCTATCATAGTGGGTAGACATTTTTGGATTTTTAAAATATTAACTAGATGACAATTATTAAATAATAGAATCAACATGAATTCAAATTATGTTTAATTCAAACTGTCATTTAAAGTATAACCGAACGAAGAGTTAAGGCTTATCTTGAACCATTTGTATGGGCTAGGGCTTGCCTTGAATTTAATCTCATAGTATAATTTTTTCTTGGTTCTGAAGTTAGTGGAATCAGCAAATACTGAAGCCTATAAAATACCCAGTGCTGCAAGATACCATATGGATGAAGAAGAAATATAAGACTTGGTTGGTTCTCACCCTTGTGGTGAATTTACTGTGAAGCTGCTGGTACTTAACCTCCAGAGACCCTCTCTTGCAATACCCTCTATGTAATTTACATTTATAATATTGTATTCTTTTTCTTAGAGAGCACCCCTGAAATTACATATGTTGGTCTTGCAAAACCTGGGTCCACCCTGAGAACTTAATATTTTACTGCAAAAGATAAGGCTTACATTTATAAAACGAGTAGACAATTACTGAAGATGGTGTAAAAATGAAACTCAAACATGTTCAGAGAAGTAAATCCCATTTATTTTGCTTCCTGTGCAGAAATTTGGATTTGTCCAGATACATACGCAACATGAATATGTCTTTCTCACTCCATTTCCTACTCGCACTTAGATCTCATGACCAGATGTTAATCTTTGTTTCAGTTTAACCAAAATGCAGATTCTTCAATTGATTTGGAGTGGGGGTTAATGTCTATAACTGGAAGGTAAGCTATTAAGTTGCATGAACTTACCTTTCCCAAAGATAAACTTGATATACTATTTTCTTATTAGGAAATTATGGTAGACCTATTTGTGAGTCGCTGGTATAATTTTTAAAATGATTTCTTTTGGTTTCTTAATAATAGAGTGTTTATCTTTTGTGAATTTAACACTGAGCAGTTATTATAGGATGTACTAATCCTATCCAGTCAAGAGTGGATTGAAGGCAGATGCTACAGTGTTTATTTCTCCCCAGAGAAAAGCTTATTTGAAATCAAGCTTTGATTTTCTTTAAGACCAAATCATGTGGCTTTTCTCTCATGGAACTATTTGCTTCTTGTGATTTTTTTTTTAAAAAAAATCTTTTTATAGTTTTTATTTTTTTTTTAATTCCGTTAATATGAGCATTTGTGATTGACCAGTAGACAGTGGTTTGAAGTCCCAGGTGGCCAATTCCATGTATTTGCTTTATCCTGTACTTGGGGTGATCAACGATTCACAAGGAATACTGTTTTCTGTGCTTTTCACCATGGCTCAGAGTTAGTTCTAGGGCTCACTGGCTTCCTTTTTATCTAAGAGAAAGTTTGAATTGTAGCTTAGCTATTTGTGTTGGGGCTTTGAGATTTTATCTTCTCTAACTTCAAACATGCATTCTACTTAAAAATGTATTCTTCCCACCATGCCATTAAAAAATAATAATAATAAGAGAGTTATGTTCTACTGAAAATACTCAGCATCAAATGTAAGGAGAAAGTTAAGTCAGCTAGTAATTCTCACTGAGAACCAAAAAAATGTTCGTACAAATATCTAGATTTTTTTTTTCTCAGACAGCTATCACATTAGCTACTCTTGGAATATTTCTTGATCATTCTCTTTCTCTGATCTGCATCTATGATATCTGAAGTATGCAAAATTCAAGAACAAGCAGAATAGGGGTGAACTATGTCTCCAGGAACTTATGCTAAGTCATTAATGGCACTCAGGTCACAGTTTGGAAAAGACTGAGCAATAATCTGAATTACCCCTTCATTTCAAGTGAGTTCTCCCAGTGGAAGACTTCTGGAGAGGATTAAAGTTGAAGCTATCCATAAACATTATGCTTTAAGACCAATCTGGCTTGAATTTGCTTGCTTAGGTCACAGAGAAGAGACTAATTCAGTGGGTCTTTGAACTTATTTCTTCTCCCCATGTTTGCTTGCCATACATTTTCACAGACTTTATCTCATTTAGTTCATTTATCATCATATCGCTCCCATGTTTATAGATGCAGATATTGAGACTCAGAAACATTCAATCAGTAAGTGGTAGAGCTGGAATTAAAACCACTTTTTTTCCCTGGCTTGGAAGCTTTCTCCAAGCGTACCATATCACTTCCTGTAATTTGTTAATGTCATATGTAAAGGGCAATT